GCACTCCACTGATCGCGTGCTCCGGCAGTTTGGTTGTTTTCAACCAATTCCGGAAGCACCTCGCAATATGGACGAGTTGTATAGCTTAGATAGACGCGACAAGACAGATACATATTGGCTGGTGAGATATCATGAGTGGGTCGTGTTGTGGAAGGATCGACATCGGCGCCTTCCACGTAGAGAGCCCATTTTTACTGACTTCTTGATGTATGCTGAGGATTATTATGAGTGGTTCAACAGTAACGGGAAACCATTTCTACTTCCCGAGGATACACGAGGGCAGACCTTTCCACGACGTCGACAGAGACGTTCACCGACACAGCACCATCGTCCCTCGACTCGTGGACGGAGAGCAGGTGCTTCCGGTTTATCCTCAGCTGCACCAGCAGGACCTTCACAGCAGCCACCGCATCCATTTATGATGTCGCAGCCATATATGATGCTGCCATCGCCTTTCCATTATCAGATGTCGCCGTCGTCTTCACCTGGTTTTATGACCCCGTCGTCGTCACCATCACAGATGACCCCTCTTGGAGGCTATTATGGGTCTATGTTTGCAGATCCGACTTGGGTTCATATGTTGGATATTTGGCGGGTTCAGCCTCATCACCCATGGCCGCAGCACAGACATCTCCTGTACAGTTTTCACACTCAACGATGTCTGGGTTTTCCCAGTTTTCGTAGGCCGGTGGGATAGTCAGTCATACACCTCCAGGGTCCTTATTCTATGGAGGTGCTTCATTGTCATCAGCTCCTCATCAACCTAATGTACCTGCTCAGGACGACGACGAAGACGACGACGATGATGATGACAGCGACGAGTCAGAACCAGTGATACGAAGAAATCCTCCTCGAGACCGACAGCCACCGCCCTGCGGAACACATTCGCGATGCATGCATCGATAGATTTTTTTATTATATTTGTATTTACTTTATTTTGTTTAATTATAATTTTTTATTATTTCTCATTTAATACTTACTTTATTTTGTTAAATTTGTTGGACTTTTTTTTTAATATATTTCAGTTAATTTTGTTTATTACCATTTAATATCAGTTATTGTAATTTGGTTATCATTTACCATTTAATTCTTATTGTAAGTTTGTTGTATTTAAATACCAAATTGTTATTATTTTGATAAAATTTAATGATTGTGTTCGTTTTTTAATCCTCATCAGATATTATCGAATGAGATTAACTTGAAGTAAATGCAAATTAAAATACAAGAATTATTATTTGATAAACAAATACATCATTTCCTCATCAATTGTTACTTGATGACAACAGAAGTGAACATGTTTTTCTAGTGTGTCCTGAGTTTCTACAATGGCCACATCTTCTGTCTTGTCTAGATCTTTCTCGAATATCCATATCGCAATGAATTCGATTGGATTTTGGACGACCATGCTCCCTTAATAAACTCAGATTTGGTACAATCGGAAGCCAATCTTGAACCTCATCAGGGTCTTTGTCATTACCTATGGGGGGAAACTCAATTCGTATACCTTAAAAACTTCAGATAGTAGGTATACGAGATCCACAAAATGGTTATAGTCTTGACGTGTATGCGAGCAAGCTGCTATCACATGAAAGCATGGATACTTCAGAGCTTGAAAAAACCCGCAGTCGCACGTTCTGTCCCTTAGATTTACTCTTAACGACACAACTTCAATCCCTTGAAGAGGTCGCGACAACTCTGTGACACGAAACATTTCATGCCTTCTAGAAAAGCTTGTTACAGAAATTCCATTTGATGCAACAATTTTTTTCTGTAGATCTGCAACTAATCTAGGGTGATAGACATGACCGCCTTGCATCCAGGTTTGAGCTTGTCCCCGAGCTTCGCAAAAAGCACCCCCAAACGAAAATATGTAGTTTTTACCAAAGCCGCTACAGGTAAGTGACATGCACCCTTTAAGGTTAAATTGATTGCCTTAGCCAAGTTGGTCGTCATGTGTCCATATCGATATCCACCATCATATGCGTTCGTCCACATTTCTTTATCGATGAGGCTGATGTAATCGTATCCTTCCTCGTTCTTCGCCCGCAAATCTTGAAGCATTGATTCAAACGTTCGAGGAAGTAGTTCTTAACCCGATCAAAAAATATATAACTTACTAACTTTCTTTCTTTGCAAAATTAAAATGATCAAAAAATGTATAACTTACTAACTTGCTTTCACTTACCCATGCGCACAATTAATTGACGTTCATCATTATTCTTGTACCTTCCATGATAGTTCGCAGCAATGTGTCGGAGACAATACCTATGTTGGACAAAGGGTGGTTGCCACATTGGACCCAAAGACTCCATTGCTGCTTTGATCCCAGCTCCGCGATCTGAAATGACACAAATGTTTTCCCTCGTGATAACATGTGCACGTAAATTTCGGACGAAAAAAGCCCAAGAATCTGTATCTTCTCCTTCGACAAGAGCAAAAACAACTGGAAGAATGTTGCGATTGCCATCTTGGACAACTGCCAATAATAAAACTTGCTTGTATTTTCCATACAAGAAAGTCCCGTCGATCTGGACCACAGGCTTGCAGTATTTGGTAGCATTAACGCACTGTGGGTAACTCCAAAAAACCCGGTAGAATTAGCTTCGATCACGAAGAACTCGATCATTATGGTATGCATAGGAGGTTTCGAAGTCCACAATTATCCCAAGATTCAACGTCCGCACCAGCCTAAACCAACCTAGAAGTTCGTTGTAAGATGCATCCCATTCGCCATGAAGTTTGACAATGGCATTTTGTTTTGCCAACCAAGCTTTTTTATAGGAGACAGTGTACCCATATTGCGATTGTATAGCTAAAATCAACACTGCAACAGCTATATGAGAGCTTGCTTTTACCATGGGCATGATGACTTGGCATATCATTTCAGAGTCCAAGTTGGGATGATCTTGGTTTACCCCTCCAGCACAACATGCGTGAGGACCGTTGTATACTGTTAGTTCCTATATGTTGTTTTTCCTCTTTATTTTCGATACGCGAACCATCCAATTGCATCCATTTTCGCGTCGGGCACAGTAGCATACATATTTTTCGGTCGTCGATCGATTGACTCTGGATTGAACAGAATTACGGATATTGTAATTTTTTATAGCCATCATCGCTTCTTCTTTGCTTGAAAACTCCATGCCTAAATATAACTCACCATTATTTATTGATGAGTAATATCCATAGTCACCGAGATGAGGCATATCCGCAAATTCTGGCCCGTACATTGCACCATAATCAGCTTCATACATGTGTGCAGGAGGGTCAGTTTGTGTCACATTTCCTGGAACTTCATCTACATCATCATCATCGGAGTTGAATTGCGGTGATTCTGGGTGAATGAATAGTCTGGTCTCAGCACCATCCGCACCAGGCTCACGAAGCGGTTCTTCTGGTGGAGATGATGGTTCCTCCATGCGCTCCATATTTAGGTCGAAGAACTTACTACTTGCATGTCTTCCCCATTGAACTAGAAGGCATATCGACATTGAGATCGAAAAAGCTTGCAGTCGAATACCTCCCCCTGGAGCTTGAAGCCATCGTGTCAAATGGAAACTGCACAGATTATTGCGTCGATGACATCTCTTATATTAAGGTCAAAGAAATTTGTAGATGAATGTCTTCCCCTTGAACTGGATGCGGTGTTGCCATACGGATTGTTCGTGAACCCACCTCGGTACATATCGTAAGGAGTTGCGGATGAATGTCTCCCCATTATGGAATTAAAATCATTACACATTACTGTAGTCGGGCTGTCAACTTGTTCAGCCAGCCCATAGTGGGAGCTTAATGATTGACCCCGAACAGTACGCACTTGAATAAAATGTGCATACATCTCAATAACGGCGTCTGAATAATTACTTTAAGCTTCAACCATCATTTGAACATCATCATTGTTCGAAAGTTCGAACACTGTATAAGTTAATGGCAACAATGATGTTGGAAATTTATACTGCAACGACGACATTCTTCTACTACTTCCAACATGAATCTTCCTCGAAATCTTCGTTATCAGCTCCTCAAGAGTTTTGTTTCTCTTGAATAATATTTTAACACGCTCATTTGATACGAAAATCCCGGTTTCATCTTTTCGAATTTCACCATCATAATGAACAATAGCTGAAAGTCGCGCCATTCTTTAAGTTTAAAAGTGCGACAATATTATATCTGCAAAAAAAATAACTGAAACAAACCTGATTAAATAAATTATATATGAACGAAAATATAGCACAATAATTTTTTTACACATCAACGTAAATAATTTAAATAATATAATTTTATAATATTATCAGCACCGCAAAACTATTTCGACGTATGCTCCCGCTTTTCAATTTTATAAACATAAAAATTAATTGAAAATAATTAATATAATATTTTTCAAATAATGATAATAAACAATAAGTATAATTAAAAAATTATAATAAAATTATCTTATAACGAAAAATCGCACGAACTTCTAAATCAAATATGAGAAGATTGCCAGAATTATTACTCGTTGACGAAATTGTTGTATTAATTTATAAGTTGAGAGGAGAGATGCGAGGAGATGTGAGAAACTTAACCGGCGGAGGAGGATATTTATAACCATATAAGACGCGGTACCTGTACCGCGCTATATATAATTATTCAGATAAAAGATATAGCGGACCAGAGACCGCATTAAATATAATTCACCCCTACGTGACGTATAGCGCGACCCCTGATCCGCACGCTATACACACGTGTAACCCATGTCAACGTATAACACGGTACAAGAGGCGCTATACCCCACGTGACACCACATCAATATATAGTGCGATTTAAGAGGCGCGCTTTACTACTAATATTAAATCGAGAAATATAATCTGACCGATATTAAATCGATAAATATACCGATCACCAATAAATTTTTAAAAAATACACCTTCAAGTTCAATTCTTGCTTAATTATTATAAGATGATAATTCTTCAATCGTCATATCAACATCAAAAAATTGATTGATATTTGCTAAATTTCATACTGGAATCGGACCGCGAGGCCCCTGCTGCCACAAATTATGACATAGGCTCCCCTACCATGGGAGACCTTAGGAAATAGGCCTTCCAACTGCAATGGAAATCTCTTACTTAAAACATTGACCTTATTGATCACCCATTGACCCCGTCCACGTAATTATGTTGCAACGTTGCCAGCTGCTTCTTATTTATACGATCACGCTTGTGCTATTTCCGTTTGTTTCCTCGATGTGGGATTAGTGCTTCGGCATGAAGTGCCGTTGAGACAACCTGGTGAGAACTGAGAAGGGTGAATGTCGAAATGAAGAAGATCGTGGGCTTTCAGTTTACATGTGAAATTGGAAAAATTACCAAGAGATTATATAATTGATTTCACCGATGAAAATTTTGTTCCAAATTTTACCTGTTTTTACTTTAACCTTACTTTTTTCAAAATTATTTTTGTACAGGTTAAAAAAAAAGTCATAACGTAAAATATTTTGGTCAATTAAAAAATGTAGTATTTCATTAGTAATAGTCATAAAAAAATATTTTGGCTGAATATATTTAGTAAAAGAAAATAAAAGAGGGAGAGAAAAAGTAAATTAATGAATGGCTAAAAATGAGGTTTTCGTTAATGAATTCTCAGCCTGAAAGCCTCACCCATTATGTCGGTCTTAATCTTAACCACCTCTGTATCGTCTCTACAGCATTTGGAACAATCATTCGGCCAGTCGGGGTTTCAACAATGGAACCCGACCTCATTCGTGTGTTCGGAAGCATGCCAAAGACCCTGTTGACAAAGAATCCCAGTTTAGTTTGTTCCAACTTCTCCGGGTTATCACACGCAAGTATATTTGAAAATTCCAGTCCTTTCACTTTCATGCTCCCTCTTTTGATGCTCCAATTGGCCCTTGCCTCTGCCGCCATCCTCATTACCTTTTCTCTCCTCCGGCGTCTTGGCCTGCCCCTCATGTTCGCTCAAATCCTAGTAAGCTCTTTCCTCAAATGCATTGGTTGGTTGATTGTTTGATGGCAGTGTTTTATTATTATTATTATTTATATAATAATGTCAGGGTGGAATGCTGGTGGGGCCATCAATGCTGTCCAAGATTCCAGGGTTTTTCAGCACCATATTTCCGATAAGAAGTTTCTTAATAATGAACGTAGTATCCACTATGGGTTTCATGTTTTACTTCTTCTTGATCGGCGTACAAACAGATGTATGGATGCTCAAGAAAATAACCAAGAAGACGTTTGCCATTGGGTTTTTCACGGTGGCAGTGCCCATGATACTAACCATGGCCACCGCCCTCGTGTGGATGCAATTTGAAGATCCTATCGACAAGAGGATCGATCAGCTTCTGGAGATAGCCAAGGCGGAATCCATGGTTTCCTACTCGATGGTAACATACTACCTTTCCGAGCTTCGGGCTATAAATTCAGAAGTTGGCAGAGTAGCAGTATGTTCTTCCATGGTTAGTACGTTGTGCAGTCTGTGTGTGATCACGTCTAACGTGCTGTGGACGGATTCGGAAGACGACGTGTTGCTCTTCTTCGAATGGATTTGTTGTATCGTCATCTTTGCAGCTCTAGTCTGCTGTACTCTTGGCCCTATACTTCTTTGGGAGATGAAGCAGACATTGGGTGGACAACCTTTGAAACAGGGCAACTTAGTTGTGCTGTTTGTAGCAGTGCTTATGTCGGGGTTTTGGGCACGTAGTTTCGGCGTAAATATTTATTTTGGTCCCTACTTATTCGGGTTATTGATACCGTCAGGACCTCCACTAGGGTCAGCGCTTGTAGCAAAGCTTGATGTGATAACCAATTGGATGCTGCTGCCGTTATTTTTTGTGAAATTTGGTCTCCCAATAGATATCTTTGCTATTAGATTTAAAATTTACTTCAAAGTACAGTTCTATTCCCTGTTGGGTGCATTTGGGAAGTTCTTAGGAGCTTCCCTGAGTGCAGTCAGCTGCCAAATGCCGCAAAGGGATGCTATTTCTCTTGGCTTTTTCATGACTTTTCAAGGCATCTTCGAGCTTATATTGTATAAGCTAATGAAACGTAAAGGGGTATGTATCATAATGTTTCATATTTGTATCATCATTTAGTATTTCGTCTTAATGCTCTACATATTGATTAGAACACACGTTGATGTTGGTTGGAATTGCAATTTGCAGCTAATAGGTCATGAGGCATTTACAGCCATGTGCTTATCGGTGCTGATAAGCACCGCAGTTGTTGCATCGATTTTGCGATGTTACTATGACTCTTCAAGGAGGCACCGGGATTACATTGGAAGAAGTGTGTTGCAGTCAAGACCAAACTCCCGACTAAGAGTCCTAGTCTGCATTCATGAGGAACAAAATGTTCCATCTGCCATTAACCTCCTTGCCACTTTAAGTCCCGGCAAGCAGAGCCCGATTGTTGTTTACATGCTTCACATAATTGAGATGATCGGGGCTGGATCGCCGCTCCTCATTCCACATAGGAAGACCAGAAGGGTCTCTCCCAAGACAAGGGGCTCAGGACCTGTTATCAACGCCTTTAAAAACTTCGAGGAAACCCATGCAGGTCTCGTCTCCGTTTACCCCTTTATTTCAGTATCTCCGACTCAAGCCATGCACGATGATGTGTGTGAAATTGCACTTGAAAAGGGGACTTCACTTGTTATAATTCCTTTCTACAAGAAGTTTCATGTTGGCGGTGCAGTGTATTTGTCTAAAATGTCCTTAAAGATCGCCAACCAGAATGTCCTCAATCAGGCACCTTGCTCGGTTGCAATACTCGTCGACCGTGGCACCCTTAAAACTCTGCATGCCATTTGGCCATGTTGGTCCTCTTCTGAAGTTGCCGTTGTCTTCTTGGGTGGAGCTGATGATCGGGAGGCATTGGCTTTGGGAGCTAGGATGAATCTATGTCAAAATATCAATTTGGCACTCGTAAGAATCCGATATGATGGAAATTTTCCGGATAAAACCGTGGAGGAGATTCGACTCGACAATGAAAGTCTAGCACAGTTTCAAACAAATATCTCTGGGAACAATTGCACCAAGTACATTGAGGAAGTAGTGAACAATGAGACAACGACTAGTAAGTTCCTTCACACCCTAGATAATCACTACGACATGGTAGTGGTTGGCAGGCGTCATTACAATGCATCACCTCTTTTGTCGGGGTTAACGGAATGGAACGAAAACAGTGAGTTGGGCGCAATCGGCGATATGTTGGCTTCTTCAGATTTCCTGGGAAACACCACAATCTTGGTGGTTCAACAACATACCGACAGTGGTCATGACAAGTGAAATGAAATACATACTAACAAGGGTTCTGATTTCAAATGAATGCCTTACATCACAAGTGAGACCATAGAGCAAAACTGACCTGCAAGAAGCATACTAGAATTAGCAGATTGATAGGAACATAAAATCTACCTATATGATAAGTTTTGGAATAGAAATGGAGCATTCATGAATTTTCTGCAGATATGTATAACATGACAATGAATAGTCAGAGTCAGACTGGTATGCTGACAATTCTTATGTGAAGTCAATTCTTTAGCATAACTACCTTAAACAAATGAAAATAAACGCAAAGTTCATTACAATCTTCTTTAAGAAAACATATTGTTAACCCATGCCATGCCCTTTCAGAAATTACTTTATAAATAAATTCACTCTATAAAAATTCAACTGTCATAAACATTACTAATCACAAAGAATCATCCGATACAAAGCTCCAACTTTCAAAAGAATTCTTTTCTCTTTGGATACCATGAATGTTGAATTAATAGTCAAAATTGAATTCCACAACATATATATAGTGTAGTAGGTGAAACACAAGTGAGATCATGAGCTGCAGAATATCAACTTGGACAAATGATTCATAGGAATGCCATATTCTAGCCAACAATTAATAATTCACCTTCTGCACCGCTAATTCTACTGTAGGATAATGTGCAAGTGTCAAATTCCAACTAAAGATGCCTAAGATGTGCAATAACTTTCAACCGTTTTATCTGCCGATCTGTTTTCCTGGAATGTTGTAATACAGTCAGAAGAGTTTTCTATGCACACTTTACGTGACATTATGGGGCTACACTCAAGGAGGCTGATAATTAACAAGACATTTAATTGGCAGGGAATGAGTAAAAACGCCAACAGAAGCGGAGGCCAAGGAAGTGGAGGGGGGAGTGAAACTCCTGACATCCAAGTCATGAAGGTCAGACTGATGACTGGTTTCCCAAGAAGACATTTCATCATCAGCATCGTGTTCACTAATATTCGACACAAATTGTAGCCTGCTCTTACCCGAAGTCTTCCTTGATAAACCAGGTCGCTGCTTTTGAAGCATATCCCAATGTGGTAGTTGAGGAGAAGCTACATCTCTATCATGAACTCTGTTAAAGCATGATTGTTATGGCGTGTAAATCCTTGATTCCCATTCTGGTGTAAGGAAAATTCAGATCTAAGTTTTTCAGGAAGTCCTAGGACAATCCTGTTCAAGAATTGAACCATTCGAAATTCTAGTTGCCTGAGAGATACTCCAGAAGGTGCAGAAAAATCAAGCTGGTATCTTTCCATTAGACTCAAAACTTCAGGTGCATATATTTCTGATAGAGGGCACCCCTCCCAGTGCCCCATATCGAGATCCATAAGTGCATCAGTGGGTTGTACCTCTGCCACTGCAAAATCCATCTCCTGGACGATTTAAAAGGGCCAGCCATCATAGTTGAGTCAATATAACCAGGGAAATGCATAATCTCATCATATATCATCATTAAAATTGTCTCCATCAAAAACAAGAATTAGGTGATACCATGCACAATGCATAAGCAAACATTGGATTCAAGAATCAATTATTGCTACCACTGCTAGAACGAAAGGAGAAAATAGACACCGATCAAAATCTTTATTCCTACAGATGATTATTCTTGATGTCTTGTTTACCATTTGGGTTTAACAAGGAACATATCTTTTCAGAAATAATGGCTGATGCTAATATTCATTTTCCCATTGGTCAAGCATAGATCCTTCAGAAATGTTAAGCATTCACAGACTTACCCATTGTAAAATATAAAACAGTTGAAGTTTATCACTAGTGTAACCATTGACTTGTTAATGAAGCCTGGCCTTTAAACTATTCTACACTTAACATGTCTTTTAACGGTCCTCAAAACTAAGCTAACAGTGTGGTACAGGTTACTTCACTAGACAATAAAATAGTCCCTTCAAAATTGAAAGAATGTTTTTCACTGATGGCTTTAACACACCTACACGTATATATTTTCTTTAATTTTGTCATAGTCCAGTGGGATAAGAAATAGAGATGAGGTCATATCTCAGCACAGTTTCCATCTCTATATGAGGGCATCTCCAGTCTTTAATTTCTGATAAGTTTATTCGATGTCATTAACTCTTTAGTAACTTTGGACATATCAAATAGTCTGTTTCTTAAGTGTTTTCTACTCAGCCCGTCATTCGATCATTGCAAGAACATTTGATAAATGCACCACATCATACACTGCTTTGTTCAACAAGTCAGCATAATTATCTCCCGTCGAGAATAAGCCAAGAGTAGCATACCAAGATCAGAAGCCTTTCAAATCTCTCGTCTCCTCAAAACATTGGCCCATAAACACTACACCGTCGGCAACTAAAACAATACACCAGAAAGTATAAAAACATGATAAACCGTGCTCATCACATCCACGAAAGCCTTGCATCAATCCTTCGTTGAAGCAACGGTGATGGCCAGGGAGATCCTTCTCCCTTACGTTGAAGCAGTGGCCGGCGCTGGAAGAGGATCCCAAAGAAAATGAGAGAGAGAATTTCAGAGAGTACCAGAAGTACTAGCGGACATAGTTATGGCCGCCCACAATGTTACCCAATTTCTCTAGTAGTAGTCTACATGAGTTCGTGTGCATCCACCTTTTCCTTTTAGTGCCATCTCCACTTTCATCTTTATGTTTTGCCCTAATTTCTTCTGTGAATCACTTGTTCCCCCCCCCCCCTTAAATTATTTATGGGTAGATTGATTACAGTAAGACTTCCCATAAGGGTCTGCATAGACTAGCAATAAGATTGGAGTCAAAAGGATCCGATCAATCATGTTATATGAAAAGTGGTACAACTCAGACTAAGTTCACACCGAGACTTTGGTTGGACTGATTGGGAGTTGAGTGGTCCTGAATCTGCCCCGGCAATGAGGAAGCCCAAAGACTACGGACCCAAATGCGAGAATTCCGAGGGCATAACAAAAAGTCATCTTCTATTGCAGTGCTTACAGTGAATCATGGCAAAAGGAGGTTTATTTGGGAAGACACGACTCTAAATATAATTAAAACTACTAAAATCAGAACAGAGAAACAAAGTTGGCATGCTCATACAATTGCAGTGCACGAGGAAATTCCATAAAAGTGTCTCCTGGGCAGGGTTACAAAATTTGTTAAAAAGTTAAGTTTGTTATTTATGTTTTCAGTTGTAACTAATTATCAGTTAGTTATATTAGAATTATATATATTTGTAATATTTTTATTCATATCAATATATGAGGTATTATCCAGCCTAGCATTTGCAATTTTAACATGGTATCAGTCTCCAGGCCGCTATTTCTTGGGTTTCCTGTTTAGCCCATACCTCATTAAGTGTTGTGGCCCATTTCTTGCAACAGTTCCAATTTCCGTTTTTTCCCCAAATTGATTTCTCTTAGGGTTCATGGCTATCACGATTGATCTGAATCATCCCCTCTTTTTGTGTCCTTCGAATACACTGGGTGTTCAGATGGTGTCGCATCAGCTCACTGGCGTCGAGAACTACAGTCTATGGACCAGGTCCATGCGCATAGCGCTTCTGGCCAAAAACAAGCTTGGCTTTGTAGATGGAAGTTGTCGAAGGGACGATTATGAAGGTTTGTTGTAGTCTCAATGGGAGCGCTGCAATGCGCTCGTACTCTCATGGATTCTGAACTCTGTAAGTCAGGATCTTTCTGCTGGCATAGTATTTGCTTCGAATGTTGAAGCCGTTTGGAAAGACCTCAAGGAACGATTTGATAAAATTGATGGCTCGATGGTTTCCTCTACTGTTTCAGCAGTGTCTTCTTTCACCTCTGAGCAGTACAATCAAATCTTGAATTTGCTAAGCAAAAGTTCAACGTTAGATTCCAGTGGGAATCTTGCAGGTACTGTTGCTTGTAATTTACCTGCTTCCAGTAACACTTGTGTTCGTTGGATAATTGATACTGGTGCAACTTATCACATTTTATCTGTTTTCAAGGGCTTGCAATTTCCTGTTATATGTGCTGCCCATCTTTTTGTTCATCTGCCTAATGGTCATACTGAAATTGTAACTCACATAGGATCTCATAGGTTGAATTCTGAACTAGTTCTCTCCAATGTCTTGTTTGTTCCCAGTTTTTCTCATAATTTGATTTCTGTCTCTCGGCTTGCTAAAGATCATGCTTGTATCATTTCCTTTCATCCTGACATTTGTATCTTGCAAGATCTTTACAATGGCATGATCAAGGGGATTGGTAGAAGGTTTAATGGCCTTTACATTTTTTAGTCTAAAGGAGCTACTGGTTTGTTTTCCAATTCTTTGGCTAGTACTGGGGATATCTCTTGTGTTCATTATGTACATGATATTTCTGTTTCTAATAAAACTAGTCTTTGGCATGCTTCTGTTTCTGCTATGAGAAAGCTTTCTTCTTATGTCTCTGATAAATTTGATGTAAATTATGTTCAGACTTGCAATGTTTGTCCTTTAGCAAAACAAACCAGGTTGACATTCCCATTTAGTCTTACTAGATCCTCAAAACCCTTTGAACTAATTCATATAGATTTATGGGGTCCTTATAGGATATCTACACATCGTGGTCATAGATATTTCTTGACTGTTGTTGATGATTGCACAAGAATGACTTGGGTTTATCTCTTGAGGGTTAAAAATGATGTTGTTCTGTTTCTCAAACAGTTTCTTTCTTTTACCTCCACTCAATTTTCTTCTGTCACTAAAATCATTAGAAGTGACAATGGTACATAATTTTTCAATTCTCATTGCTCTCCTTTTTTTATCTTCTCTTGGCATTTTACACCAAAGTTCCTATGTTCAGACTTCACAGCAAAATGAAGTTGTAGAAAGAAAACATAGACATCTCTTAGAGGTAGCTAGGGCTTTATGTTTTCAGTCAAAAGTACCTATTAAATTCTGGGGTGAATGTGTACTAATAGCTTGTTTCATTATAAACAGACTCCCTTATTCTTTTTTACAATAGAAAACTCCTTATGAACTTCTTTATCACAAAACCCCTGACATGTCTATTCTGAAAGTTTTCGGTTGTTTGTGCTATGCTACTGATCCTAAACCAACTAACAAGTTTGCCCCTAGAGCATTTCCTTCTGTTTTCATGG